TAATGAAGTAGGATAATGTATACTATAAAAAAAATTTTATTTTCTTATTTATATATCCTTTTTAATTAGATAAAATTTATCATAATAAGAATCGATCTGCATTCATTTCTGCGCTGTGAAGATGCTTTTATGAAGATTAAAGATACCAGAATGAATGACAAAAAAAGCAGCTTTGGAGACGCTTTCTTTTATAGATGACGAGAAGCAAGGAAACTCAGAGCAGGTGAGTGATCGAGGATGTAAGTGGGGAAATTTGCTTCCCAACGGGCACTGCGAGTACTGCTTTCTCAGCCGTAATATTGGAAGTTTACGAGGTTTGCCGTAATCGAATCTCGTTGTACAGCCACAGAAAGCCTTTGGCAATCTGCTGGAGGGCCGATACGACGTCGACATGTCACGGAAATGTGAGCCTTACTAGAAATGACGCGCGATATGGTTTGCCGGCATTTTAAACAGACGAGGTTTCGCACTTTCAGCAGAAGAAAATTAATTCGAGACAAGAAAAAGTTTATCTGCTACATTATAATCATGATTTTTAAAATTTAAGGAAAAAAGGAAGAAAATATTTCTTTTATTTTAATTGTGATTTTAATCATGATTAAATTACGATTATCTGAATGGCAAGAAACTGAAAAATGCTAAAATTTACCGTTTTAATCATATCATAATCATAATTTATTTGCTACAGTTGCACAGTTAAAATCAAAACTGATACTTAAGTCATCGCAATTTAACCAAGTGTTTGTATCTGTAGTTACGTTTCGAAGTATAAGATAATGAGCGGAACACACGATGGTTACATTACTCTTGCCTTGTGTCAGTTAATTAATTTATATGCACATCAAGGAACTAATTAACCATTCTGAATAAACTTTCGTTTACGATCAATTTCCTCCGAGAAGTGCAATGACCGACCGAAATATAATACATACTAACAATATCTTATACTTTTATTAGAGTTACAATTAAGGAAAAATTTCATTGATTTATTTAAAATTGAAATCATCGAAAAGATAATTTCAAACTTTACTGAATTTTTTATGTGCACTAAAGCAATTAATTTAATAAAAGTAATTATAAGGCTCAATATGTATAAAACGGTATAAATATTTTATAATTTTATTTAATTTACTATAATTTTTTTTAAATACAAAACATATACATTTTTCTTCAGTCACTAGGAACGTCTAACAAAACACAAGACAAGATTAAGACAACATCGCAAAACAATCTTTATGCAATTTTGTTGTGTAGCCAGCGATCTAAGACTTTACAGTTAGATCTACACTTTATTATAATGTGAAGAAGTGCTACGAACGACGAGAGGGACATGGAAAACCTTGAGAATTTCCTTGCTCATTGTGATTCACGAAAGAAATAAGGTCTCGTGCTCTTCCTGGCATATCAGAACAGAATTTCCCACACTGCTGCGACCCAGTTTTGCATAACGTACCTTCTGAAGAAAAGTTCTTAGATATCTTGCATTAAATCACAGAAACGAAAAAATGTTCACTTGATTCTTCAGGAAATTCAAGTTAATTATGGGGATGTTAATTATATTTCGTATACATCATTACACGATTGCTGTATTAAATTTGAATTTTAGATTAAAATTTTTTAACTATAAATTTTTATTACATATTTCTATGAAACAATCACTTTATAAATATCAGTATAAATACATATTGATTAGTTTATAACAAAATATTTATATAAAAAAGGTCAAATTAAATAACACGTTTAAAAATCCTTTTAATTTTTTTGTAGCATTTAATGTAATAATTAATACAGATTATAAAATAATGTTTAACTGAAAAACATAGCTTACTAGCTGTAAAAACATAAATGTATGTTTTAAAATAACTATGTTAACAGATTTTTAAGAATATTATAATTATGCACCTCCCAAAAATTTGGTGGCTCGGGATAAGAAACTTGTAGTGTCTCTCAGTTTTTTAACATGGCCGGAGACACTATCGCGTCTCCTGATATAACAAAATGCAAAATTAAATAATCATAAATATAATCTGTAAGAACATTTTCTGTAATAACGTAATAAATCATGAAGATATTATTGGTTGCGTTCAGCAGAGAAAGCAGCTTTGTAAAATTCTTTAATATAATTGATCTTGCCCTTATTTCCTCATTCTAAATGTATAAGCTAACAATCATATTTAAGAATTTGACAACAGTTGCAAAGCTGCTTTTTCTGTTGAACGCAGCCATTATGATACTTGATACCACATTTATAGCGGAAGTATTATACAAATCTCTATTCATCATAAGATTCAAATTTGAAAACTGTATCAAAAATTTGACAGAAGTCGGAAATAGCGTATCCACGTCTGACAGCTTCATTAATTGTTTCTGAAAAAAAAATGTTTTATTTTTAATTTACAATCCAAAACGCGAAACTCGAGCTGGTCGCGAAATTAGTCGTTGTTAACTCTATAATATTATCCATGTAAGCATAACACAATTCCGTTTAGTACATCCGGTAACGTCGTTGTAAACATACCGCGGGCATCTTGAAATGCAAATAGAGAACTGTAGAGAGAATTCAGCAGCAGAACTGTCTAACCAAGTGTTAATTAATTGGATCTCTCCGTTAAGAATGATTAAATATCACACATTGATACCAATCTGTAAAAGTACTATGATTACCGACATGGTTTTATCATGTTTACATCACCAATTAAGGATGAACGATTAAATGATGCTCTTGAAACTTGTTAAGCACTATAATTTTCAAATAAAATAAAATTGTATTATATATAGAGGAAATTAAAGAAAATGTAATCGTGTTCTTTATATGTTAATAAAAAAGAATAAGACTCTTTGATTTCATTAACATTAATAGGAATAATTATGATATAAAGTATGTTATAAAATCGAAAAATTTTGTATAAATAATTTCATAATCCTTGTGAAATAATCGAAATAATATCTAATTATATCGTTAAAAAGTATTATGGTATTATAGTTTTTTTATTGTCGTAATCGTCTGGATTATATTTATAATTAAAATTTCTTGTGAATACATAATATTAAAAATAATTACAAGAATTTTTGAAGAAGAATTTTATAATGTATTTTTAGCAATATACACAGTTGGAAAATTTGTGTGTTTTTGTGAAAAAATCTGCTGATTAAAGTTTTTGTGTTAAGTAATGTACACATTTAGATGTAAATTTAACATATGTCTCTTATGTTAAAAGAATGTAATGAATATAAAGTTTAAAGTTATTGAAATGATTTAAAAAATATGTTAAAATAACACAATTTGCACGTATTTAGTAAATATGTTAAAATTTACAGAAAAAGAGTGTTGATTTTACCCTTGTGGCGACCCGCCACTAGAGATCCAACGAGACTTGCGCAAATTCTCACAAGTATTCGAGACACGCGAAATCTCTTCATATAGAACCTCGATCCTAAAAACTCCCCCAGGCGTCTAAGGTAGGCTCCCATTACAATGCCTTACTGACGAGTCCAGTAGTGAGAGCCGGGACAAAACACCGCAGTAGATCACATCTCTCATTGGCCCACAAGGGGCCAAATTCTATAACAGGAATGGGCAGTGTTGTTACGCGAATCATCTTTTTAGAGAACATTTGTTATATGTTAATTTTGTCATAATAATTCATAATTCTTAATTATGTTGATTATACATATACATATAACTCTCTTCAAGTTTTATTCAAGATTACATTCCATTTTTGATGAAATATAAACATAGTATTCGTGTTATTATTTAACATAATCATAATGTTAAATTAACACAAAAATTTGAATGGACCGTTTGGGATTTATATTAAATTATGAATTATATTAAAATGAATTTAATATATTTTTTCCAATTGTGCACGTTTGATGTTTATCTTTACTTGATTTATAACATTTAACTTGATAAAATTTATTAGGTAAGTATGTTTACATTAGCTCCTAAACATAGACTCTTGTGTGCTTGAAGATTTTCAATTTTAAAATATTTCACGATACAGTGGCTCCATAACGCTTCAAGTTGAAATATTAATAGGAACAAGTAAGGATGAGCATAATCACCCATGATCGTAGCATAAGCCATGTCAAAGTTACCGTATTAATTAATATCACATTAGCATTATTACACGCATTTGTATTACATTTTTTCTCAATTTCACATTTTTCACCATAATTGCATGTATAACTGGGAAGAATGCAAGTACGTTCAATGATTTCAGTGTCGTTACTGTAATCTAGAAAAAAACATCATTTATTAGTAGGCATTATTCTGTTGCTATGCCGAAGAAATACTCGTAACGTATAAAATATCGAAATATAGAATACTTACAATGTTTAATTGTTGCACAACTCCATTTTTCTTCTGCATATGTATTTTGTTGAATGTAAGAAAAAATGCTTCTTCGTAGTCTGTTATGACGTACCATAACTAAAAAAGTAAGAACTTAGTGAATATTGTAAACAATGTTTCCTAAAATTTGTGACAAATGAATTTGAAACAAAATATAAAAAAGACAATAATTATACTACAATATAGAAATACATATATTATATAATTTAAAGGAATAGAAATTATAATAAGGAATAAATTAAATTTATTAATTAAATTTTTACAAATATTAATTACATTTAATTACATTGTATTATTATATTGTACTATCATTGAAACTAACGAAGTGTTCAAAATTATTGCTGTTCAAAGTCCTATCTTTTGAAATACAATGTAATTGAAATTTAATAAGACACATACATATATATTAAACTTTGAAAATATTTCTTGTATTCTAAATATTTTCTTCTAATTTTTAATATTAGTGAATAATTATATTTTTCCTATATAAGTATATTTAAATGTTTTAAAATTAACAATGCGAATATATTTAATCCCCAATTCCACACTGGTGCGAATTAGCACTAGCAAAAATACCCACAAAATTTTTTCATAGAAAAGATATTTTTAACTTATTATTATGTATGCGTTATGCAAAAGTGTGTGTTGCGGCTTTTACGTTCAAAGACATAAAAGCCAAATTTGCGCCAATGTGAAAGTTACAATTGTGTGGTCGGGGTGTAAAATTTAAGAATTAATTTAAAAAAATATTAATTTTATAAGACAGACAGAGAAAGAAAGAGAAAGAGTAAAAGAAAAAACGCATTTATTTTCAACATAATAATCGATGTACCGGCCGACGGAGTCTGGGTGGTTATCGATGTATTGGTCGATGGAGTCGTAGTAGTTGTCGATGTACTGGTCGATGTATTGGTCGATGGAGTCGTAGTAGTTGTCGATGTACTGGTCGATGTATTGGTCGATGGAGTCGTAGTAGTTGTCGATGTACTGGTCGATGTACTGGTCGACGGGGTTGGAGTAGTCGTCGATGTACTGGTCGACGGAGTCGGAGTAGTTGTCGATGTACTGGTCGATGGAGTCGGAGTAGTCGTCGATGTACTGGTCGATGGAGTCGAAGTAGTCGTCGATGTGCTGGTTGACGGAGTCGGAGTAGTCGTCGATGTGCTGGTTGACGGGGTCGAAGTAGTCGTCGATGTGCTGGTCGACGGGGTTGAAGTAGTCGTCGATGTACTGGTCGATGGAGTCGGAGTAATCGTCGATGTGCTGGTCGACGGGGTTGGAGTAGTTGTCGATGTACTGCTCGATGAAGTCGAAGTAGTCGTCGATGTACTGGTCGACGGGGTTGGAGTAGTCGTCGATGTGCTGGTCGACGGAGTCAGAGTAGTCGTCGATGTACTGGTCGACGGGGTTGAAGTAGTCGTCGATGTGCTGGTTGACGTAGTCGGAGTAGTCGTCGATGTGCTGGTCGACGGGGTTGTAGTAGTCGTCGATGTACTGGTCGATGGAGTCGGAGTAGTCGTCGATGTGCTGGTCGACGGGGTTGGAGTAGTCGATGTGCTGGTCGACGGGGTTGAAATAGTCGTCGATGTACTGGTCGATGGAGTAGGAGTAGTCGTCGATGTGCTGGTCGACGAGGTTGAAGTAATCGTCGATGCACTGGTCAACGGAGTCGGAGTAGTACTCGATGTACTGGTCGATGGAGTCGGAGTAGTCGTCGATGCACTGGTCGACGGAGTTGAAGTAGTCGTTGATGTACTAATTGATGGAATTGGAGTAATTGTCGATGTACTGGTCGACAGAGTAGTGGTCGATGTCATGATGGTCGTCGTTGGGATAATCGTCGTTGTAGTGGGTTGCGATGGTGGTGATTCGCATTCTATAATTATTGCATCTGACAGTGGTCCTTCTGTACAGTCCTTGTTTTCTTGCGAATTGCATTGATAACATTTCAATGCATTTCCTTTAAGAAGAATGAATAAATTAATGAAAATACTTTTATATCAATTTTACAGTTTTTATTGACTCTTTAACTATTATCTTTAAATACTTAAGTACAAATATTCAATACAATAAAATATGTAATAATTGATAGCGTTTATTGTCAAAGGAGGGAGTGTAAAAATGGCCAAAATTGGCCCTGAATAGACATCTTTAAAACCTATGCAGTTGTCATTTATAAAGTCCGTAGATTCATTGAAAAATACTTATTTATCCAAGAAAACTTGGGAAACCTTCCAAGAATAATAAAATAGGTCGTTTAAATTAATGCTCTGCAAAGAAACTCATTTTGTTTCTAATAAACGATGATAGATTTCAAAGTTAATGGTTTATTTACATCTAATACATGTTGGATCATGAAATACTATAAGAATACACTACCAGGTAAATCTACACACACACATATATATATATATATATGTACATATATAAGTGATAAATATATGATATCTACATATATACGCCCAGCTTATCTTTTATGATAAAAATATAAGCATAATTGATCTTTTGCATATTATTATGCAAATATTGGACTGTTGATGTCAAATCTTTTATACAAATGATACGTGTCATTAGAATTAAGAAAATAATAAGGATAATATCACATAGGGTTTTATCCAAATTACGCCATTGTCGGTTATACCCTCTCTATGGCAGAGATATTTTACGAACACGCGTAAATTTTTCTAATTAATTTTTCTACCTTTGGGAAAAGAACCGAAAAAATCCGCGAAAAAATTCGGTTTCTTCCGGTCCATTAAATCTATATACATATACCATGTATATAGGGATAAATATGATGTAGAGGAAGGTTGTCTCTATCACATTACATTTTAATTATAATCATTAGTTGTTCAAACGTCTAATGACGAAATTTTATAAAACTGACAACAAGCTGCGATCTCCTGTAATTTGTATTCATTAAAACAAGTTGTTTCTTTGATCTTATTCACGCTCACTTGCTTTGTCTAGATCCGACTTCACATGACGCAAGAGAAATCCAATTACGCTTACTGGCATTTTTAATTTAAAACTAGAAAAGCGCACATTTTTTTATTTAAGTATTTAAAATTTTTTGTTAATTATAACATAATATGTTAATAGAATTAAATAAATTATCGAAAATTTATTTCATACCTGAGTATAGAATAGTGAATGCAACTATTAGAGTGGTGATTGCAAAAGGGCGACCTTGCTTTGCCATTTTTGATGTGTTGTCAGATACGTCAAACCAATAACTGTCGTGATACTTCGAGAAATCCGGATATACCTTCCAACGTTATCATCGATTTTCACTACACTGACACTGACTGTGATAAACTTGGATTATCGTAAGCATCAACCTCCCTCAATGCTATCATTTCCGTCTCAATTAAGATGTAAAAAGATGAATTATCTATAAATTTTAACAAAGATAGTTAATAAAAATAATTTTCTTGTAGACATATAGTATTAGCTTTGCAGTAATATATAAAATATATTAATGATTATGTAATTGATTTTTTATTATGAATAATTGTTATAAGTAATTATAAGTTAAGTCAGATTTGATTTATTTTGACCATATCACAATTTAATGTTGATATTTTTTAAACAAACGTGATTTTAAATTTCTTTAATCATATATTATATACATATCAGAATTTTTTAAAAATTACAAACCTATTTTGTTGTAGCTTTAAAAGATTTCTGTTAATAGAATTGATTGATATAAAAAAATGAAAATACTATATTAGTAGAAATTTGTATGACGTAATTATTCATATTTCTTTTTAATATCTATATTTAATGATCAATCACTACTTTTAACAAATTTATCAGGATTATTAGAATTTTCAGAATTAGTATTGAAAACTATATTATATCTTTTAGCATTAAAGATATAATTATTCTTATAAAATGTATTTAAAATAAAAATTATCATATACTTTTACTTATCTACTTTGACAATTCTTTGTCAATAATTAAAGAATATTTAATAAATTTTATCATTGCACTTATAAATAAATATTGTGATGTTAAATTCGTAGATACATTCTTAGCAACCGTTTTCATGGACGGCTAAGCGTGACGTCGCTCGACTAGCGCAGAGGAACATTTTAAGTTCAGTTACGAATTATAGTTAACATTGCAAAGAGTACACTTTACCGTAACATCCATATTTTTTGTTTATTCAAGCGAAAATACTACAAGACCGTTAGGTCAGCTCAAGTAATGCTATATGTTATTTTCATCGCCTTTTGATACCGTAATTATAATAGAAATCATACAATATACTAATCAAACAACTAGCAAGATATAATTGATATATCATTGGTCGTAAGGTATGCAATTTTAAATTTGCTGTATCTTGATATAAACATAATAAAAAATAACAAATTAAATTTCTGATTTTTAATTAAATAAATTTCTATACGAAGAGAGAAAACGATGGAATTTTCTTTCAATTTCCACTCCAATTTTCTCTCACGTACTGTATAAGCTTTTCAAAAATAAAACTCAAAGAAAAATCATTTAAAAGTATTATTACGCGAGCTATGAACGCTTGATTTATCTCTTTGTCCTCCACGGATATTTCTTTACGCTATTGTGGAATCTTTTCCATTTAAGATCTTTCAATTTCAGTTATATGTCTATGTCTATTAATCCATTAAAAGTATGTACATTCAATTTTTCTTAACGGAAGGATTGATTTTTGTGATAGTCCAAATAATTTTTGAGAAAATTCTTTTAAGTATAAATCTATCATTATTTTTATTAGTCATTAATTTATAAATAGTTGAATAAATAGAATATAAGAGGAAATGTAAATAAGATTTATCGAATTTGAAGTGACTGACAGAAAACTGATTTATACAAATTATCGTTTATCGTTTATCGTTGAGACGGAGACGTTGATATCAATTGATGTCGCCAATAATTATTTATATAATGTTGCAACGTGACCGATACTATATTTTCTTTGGAAATATTAGTCTTTTGCACAAGTATAAGACTGTGATATTAAATTTACGTATTTTTTAATTTTAACGATGTAATTACAACGTTTAAACATTTTATTTTAGATTTTGTTGTATAATTTTGTAAATGTGCGCACCTATTACGGTACTATGACTATTATGTATATTAATTTTGATTGTTCGAAGCTTCGAAATTTGTAGTTGCTTAAATATTTACTAATATTATAAATTGCACATGACAGCTTGACCAACATCAAACACCGAAGTATCAACGCTTCGAAGATTCGAAGCTCCGAATTTCCGAATATTCGAAGCTTTTAAGTTCAAAGATTTTAATGTCAAAGCTTCGAAGTTTGAATGTCGAAGACTTCGAAGCAAATCACCAGCCCTATATTGTAGCTACATCAACTGATATTTTGGAGATTTTGGATTTTTGTATAAATTCTAGCACCAAATATCAGAATTAATAAAATTTCCAAATTATCTCAAACGCGAGGAACGATAAAACCAGAGAACTATTATGTCGTGAAAAGGAAGAACCCTGTGAGTGTTCGTTAGAGCATAAAGGTATTTGCTTCTCACTCTTAAGTAGTGGAATAACAATGATACTCACGGATGCTTGCGCAGCCTTGTCACATCCAATTACTCGGCATCAACGTGTTTCGCTTCAAGTTTTTTCAAATTTTGCATCCCCTCCTTCCTTATAAAATCGGCTGTTTTTGATCAAACACTAGAGAGAGAATGTGGAATAGTAATTTCTTTTCCTCTCCTTTTTGCCCTTCTTTTTCTTCTTCCGCTGCATATGATCGTTGTTTCCTTGAAACATAAACGAATATCGTTTACAAGTTTCATATATTATGAAATTTTTTAGTTATTCAAAATTGATTCTTTTGTAGAAAAAGTATGAAATTAAAGATGCAATGTGTATCGTGAACTGTATAACTTTTTACATATTAAACTTAAAACTACAAATTTTGTTAGTAATCCTAGGTAGTAATATGATGTAAATTTTTTATTCTTACTTTTTTTTATTGTTCCACAAGTTTTCACGGAAGTAAAAACTTGTGGAACAATATCAATCGATAAGTAACATTATGTACGGACGACAATATGTAACATTTAAACCATATAAAATTGTATCAGCAAGATAAGAATATATCTGATTGGTATTAACGGTGGATTTATACAACTATCAGTTTCATCCCTATGTTGCAATGATACGAAATACAGTTGATACGTCGAACAAATTTATAACATTGACGCGTCAAGAAAATGTTCCATGCACACGAGAAGTCCCGGCATTTCTGTGTTTCACTAATTATACTTTCTTCGATAGATCAAAGTCGTTTAGATTTATTAGACACGGTGAAAGCGTGGGGCATTGTCAATACATTAAAATTAATCGACGTTCCCAAGCTATTTTCTTTTTTCATTATACGTTGCATTCTGTCTGATCTCTTTATCATTGTTAGCATGAAAATCCGGTTCCAATATCGCGGAGCGATTTACTGAAAGTTAAGACAAGATATAGCTCTTGAAGCAAATGCAAACTTTCTTATCAATTCCTTGAAAATGAAATTCTTTTAGTACTCATGTGATAATCACCTAAAGCTTTATATCGACTTTACCATTTCAATTGAGAAGTTCTTTGTGTGCACGAAGAGTTCAATGAAAGACGGTTAGAAACATATGTAAGCAAAAGAAGGTAATTGACGAATATTAAAATCTTTCTAGAACCAACATACAAATGAATAAACACAAACAATAAGAAGGGAGCCTATAACGGTCAAAGCTAAGTCACATTGCTTATTATAATTATGTGTGAATTTTATATACTGCGTATGTAGTCTCCCCCAAAATTATCTTTTTAACCCAATTTGAAATGTAGGATATTTTTTATTCAAATAAATTGTTTTTTTTTTTTGTTAAGTTTACATTTTACTTGTAATATAACTTAGCTAAGGTTTACTCTTTTATAATATTTCTAAATTATTTAATAGTTATAAAAAAATATTGTATTTTCGTGCACATTATGTAGTGAATAATAAGCGATTCATAAAAATTTAATATTTTGATTGATATTTTGAAAACAAAAATTTTTCTTACTTTTCTATTTTTATTATAATTACATATAATAAATAGCCTTATATATGCTACAAAATTTTTTAATGTATACACGCCAAGATTTTACGGGCAATTCATATGATTTATTATTTATTTGCAAAATCAAAATCAAATAAATTTATTTTTATAATAATTTATCAACTATGTTAAAGAATTATAAAAAATTTGTTTGTCGCGTATAAAATACTATATTAAATAAGGTGACATCTACAATAATTTACTCTATAATATCAAAAAGAATTAAACATAATTCTTATTATTAGTTATTTATTTTTCTGCCAAAGCAAAATTGATCGAACATTGATTGGTCTAATAAAGTTTATTAAAAATGAATAAGAATTGTAACTTTATTATCGAGGAAATTGAAGATAAGAGTTTATTGTACTAGATTAACGTTGTCTCTCTTCCATGATATTTTCTATAAAAATTTCCGTGTATAAAACATTTATAATATAAAATACACACTATAAACATTTCATTTTTTTACATGAATATATTAATATGGCTTATAAATTAGTATACTGATGGTTTATAGTACTTATCTTGCAACGCAATAACAAAATAAAATGTTTGTAATATATGTATACATGTATATGTATATTCAACATTATATATACTCGTATGCACACTATATATCTTCACACTATTATGTTTTTCCAAATTCCATTGTTCAATTTCAATAATATTTATTAATAAATCTAATATTGGGATTGGTGTCACTTAAGACGATTTGTAAACACATATACAACTAGATGAAATTGGTAATGCTCTCTAAAATCATTTATAGTTGCGGCATACGTGGGCCGCGGCGAAGAACCATTCTAATATCAGAATCACTACAAAGGTATAATTATCATTTATCACTAATGCATAACGGACATGCCACGATTTATGGTTTGACGATGATAGTATGGTACCAGACGTGATCTTATGACGCATAAATGAAAATATTTTTTTAAACCACCGCAAAACTGCACGTTGGTTTATTGAATAAGACAGGAGGATTCGAGCGATCGGTGTTATTTCTATCGCTAAAGGATAATGCCATTAACGTTGAAAAATTTCAACGTTACATCTGTCTAAACGACGCGTTGTACATCTGCAATATTAATTCTCTCTCA